TACACATGGTTTTTGGTTACATGGATGAATAGCTTAACTCCCTATTATGAATGAGAACGTGTTTTTATTTGGCTTTCCCGTCCTGAGTTACTTCATTTAGAATAATGGCCTCCAGTCCCTTCCAAGTTGCTGCAAAAGACATTATTTCATTCTTCTTATGGCTGAGTAGTACTCCATGGTGTATATATACCACATATTATTTATTCCATTCACTGGTTGACGGACACTTAGGTTGATTTCATATCTTTGCAATTGCAAAATGTGCTGCAGTAAACAAACATACATTTGCTGGTGTCTTTTTGATGTAAAAGTCACAGGTTACCAAATCCATGTACACAAATCAGTAGCACTAGTATACACAAATCAGTAGTACTAGTATACATCAAGAATGGCCAAGGTGAGAATCAAATCAAGAGCCTAATCCCTTTTACAATAGTGGCGGCAACAACAACAAAAACTTAACCTTTTAGAGATCTTTCACCTCCTTGGTAACCAAGATGAAAGATCTCTAAAAGGAGATGAAAGATCTCTGGAAGGAGAACTAGAAAGCACTGCTGAAGAGCTCTTTCATAGGAAAAAAGGAAATCAAGCAGACATGAACAGACATTTCTCAAAAGAAGATGCACAAATGGCCAACAAACATATTTTAAAATTCCCAACATCACTAATATTCAGGGAAATGCAAACTAAAACAACAAGGAGATATCACCATACTCCAGCCAGCATCCTTATTATTAAAATGTTGAAAAACAATAGAAAGATGTTGGTGCAGATGTGGTGAAAAGGGAATGCTTGCTCATACATTGCTGATGGGAATGTAAACTAGTACAACCTCTAGGAAAAACAGCAGGGAGATTTCTCAAAGAACTAAAATAGAGCTACCATTCAATCCAACAATCCCCTATTTGGTATCTACCCAAAGGAAAAGAAATCATTACGTCAAAAAGACACCAGCAAATGTATGTTTGTTTACTGCAGCACATTTTGCAATTGCAAAGATATGACATCAACCTAAGTGTCCGTCAACCAGTAAATGGAATAAATAATATGTGGTATATATACACCATGGAGTACTACTCAGCCATAAGAAGAATGAAATAATGTCTTTTGCAGCAACTTGGAAGGGACTGGAGGCCATTATTCTAAGTGAAGTAACTCAGGACGGGAAAGCCAAATAAAAACACGTTCTCATTCATAATAGGGAGTTAAGCTATTCATCCATGTAACCAAAAACCATGTGTATCCCCTAAAGCTATGAAATACGCCAAAATTCTGAAAAAGAATAAAACTGTATAATTTTTTAAAAAATTACTTTGGGTTTAGAAAAGTGGCCAGTTCATGCTCTACTGGTTGGACTGTAAATTAACACAAACATTCTTGAGAAAAATTAATATTGATCAAAGGTCTTTTTTAAAAAGTTCCTGTATTTCAACCTAATAATTCTATATTGGATAATTTGTTCAAAGCAAACAGTTTAGGGATGCAAGATTTATATAAAAAATGTTATGGGCTGGGCATGATGGCTCATGCCTATAATATTAATGACTTAGGAGGCCAAGGCAGAAGGAATGCTTGAGGTCGGGAGTTGTAGATCATCTTAAGCAATGTAGTGAGATCCTGTCTCTACAAAAAACTTAAAAAGTTAGCCAGGCATGGGAACAGGCACCTGTAGTCCCAACTACTTAGGACGTTGAGGCAGGAGGATGAAGTTCGAGGCTGCAGGGAGGTATAATCACACCACTGAACTCCAGCCTCAGGCACAGAGTGAGACCCTGTGTCTATAAATAATTATAATGAGAAAAGATGCTCCTTATATCATTAATTATAAATATAAGATAATTGCAAAACTCAAATTGCAATTTGTTAAATGAATAACAAGATTTCATATGGTGGACTTCTACATGGCCATTAAGATTGCAAGAATATGCATTTATTTATTAGCAGAAGAGTTCACAGTTAATAATTTATTATTTCCAAGAATTTCATGTTCCAGAAGACCAAGAAGGTTTCTCCCATTAATCCCCAGAACACAAGTCAGAAATTACAAAAATTCTAATATATTATCTTTAGTATAAATATTTCTTTAAAACTAGAATGTGGCACATATATACCATGGAATACTATGCAGTCATAAAAAATGAGTTTATGTCCTTTGCAGGGACATGGATGAAGCTGGAAACCATCATTCTCAGCAAACTGACACAAGAACAGAAAGCCAAACACCTCATGTTCTCACTCATTAAGTGGGTGTTGAACAATCGGAACACATGGACACAGGGAGGGGAACATTACACACCGGGGCCTATTTGGGGGTTTGGGGTCTACGGGAGGGATATCAGGAGGTTGAGGGGTTAGGGGAGAGATAACATTAGGAGAAATATCCAATGTAGATGATGGGGGGATGGATGCAGCAAACCAACATGGCACATGTATACCTATGTAACAAACCTGCACATTCTGCACGTGTACCCCAGAATTTAAGTATAATAATACACAAAACAAAGAACTAGAGTGTCATACCTCAAACTGCCCAGCTCTTGTTCCCATTCGATTTTCTGATGCTCTAGCTGCAATTTTGTCTTTTTTGTTTCAGATAGCTCCTTTTGTAGTACACTAACCGTATTTCCCATTTGTTTAATTTCTGCTGTAAGTCGTTCACAGTCATTATTCTTAAGTTCCAGTAAGTGTTCATATAAATGAAATGCATCCTTGATTCTTGATTGGCTAACAGAATCTGTGTCAGGGAGAAAACAAGGTGGAAATAAAATATGTGAGTACTTTTTAGGTTAAAAGGACTGTGCATTTTTAAACACTGTCTCCTTCATACACTGAACAAATATGCACTGAGTGCCTACAGTGTGGCAGACATTCCACTAAGCTGTACAGATAAAACAGACAAGACCTCTACTCTCATTTAGTCTTAAGTGTAGTGGGGAACAAAGACAACAAAAGTGACAATTATAAATTCAGATGGATGATGTAAGAAAACAGAGTTCCATGATCACATAGGAGAATTTGATCTACACTGGGCCCACGAAAGATTTCCCTGAGGAAGAGATGACTACACCAGGAAATGAAGGGTGAGAAGGAGGCACTTAAGCAAAGGGGTAGAAAAGCATTCTAGCAGTCGACAGCAGGTGCCGAAGCTCTGCTGCAATCTGCTTCTGGCCACGATGGACAGCAAGTACTGATTTACCTTCTTGCCTGAAATAACCAAAAGGAAAACAGAAAAAATATATTATACAATGATTTACCAGGCAGTGGACTTCAGGTAATGAAGGCAATGATCCCGTAAGACAGGAAACAAATGGAATTCATACCAACGCTCCAGCTCCCTGCCTTTGCAGAGTTTCCAGGCTATCACACAGAGAGAAAAAACTGTCATAGAGTCTACCAGATTCCCTGAGATGAGATGAGATGATGAAGCTGAGAGTCTGGTAAAGCCAAGGCAGACAGAGATCGCAAAACAGAACACTGGAAAGGAGACAGAGTACAGGGAAAGAACACTGAAGATCTGCAAAACTACCTCCTGGGTATCTAGCAGAGTACTGAACAGTGCATGTGTGCCAGAAAACTGCCCCAGACCAAGGGAAGAAACATCTAAAAAAACTGGAAAGAAACATGCCTGCTGCTCACAAGGTGCCAAAAAGAGTGTCCATTCCCATGAGTGATGCTGGGAAAACTCAGACTTCACATGGGAATGAAGAGAGCCATCACAAAGATCTTGCCTCAGGAGTGGGAAATTCCACCAAATCATAAAAGGAAGACCGGAAAGATCAAGCTGTTCATATGGAACTCAACCGTATATCAAAATTAAGCTCAAGCAGATTGGCAGAGGCATGGAAGATATATATATTTTTAAAGCAAAATACTCTTGTAGAGATTCAAATTACAATGTCAGGAATGAAAACTACAATGGATGGAAGTGAACACAGATTAGACATCACCAAAGAGAAGTTTCATAAATTTGAGGCATCAGTGAACTATGAGAAAACTTCAAGCAGGAATAAGTCCCAAAAGAGGGAAAAAGAGAGACAAAAAAATATAAAGAGAATGGCCAAAACTTTTTAAATTTAAAGAAAACTATAACCCTACAAATCCAGAAGTATCTGGCTGGGAGAGAGGAAATAAAACTATATTATTCCAATTTTCCTTTTTTAAGATGTGTCAATTGGTTTTTGGGGAACAGGTGGTCTTTGGTTACATGAATAAATTTTTTTGTGGTGGTTTCTGAGATTTTGGTGCACCCAAGCATCCCTCAAGCAGCATACACAATATCCAATCCATAGTCTTTTATCCCTCACCCCCCTCCCACACTTTGCCCCCAAGTCCCCAACTTCCATTGTATCATTCTTATGTCCTTGCATCCTCATAGCAGAGACGAGTGAGAACATATGATGTTTGGTTTTTCATTTGTAATTTTCTTATGCCATATGTGGCATGGCATAATATTTTTGAAGATGGACTGTGATCAGTTAAAATCATATACTATAAATTGTTGTGCAACCACTGAGATAGAAAAAAATAGTTATCGCTAACAAGCCATAAAAGGGAGATTAAAAATAAATCACAAAAATTACTAGACTAATTGAGAAGAAAGCAGAAAAAGAAGAGAACAAAGAACTGCAGGGACCAATGGAAATCAAAAAGCATGATGAAAGATAAACCTAACTGTATCAATAAGCACACTATAAATGAAACTGGCCTAAAAATCTCATTTAAAAGGCAGACTATCAGATTGGATAAAAATGCAAGAACCTACTACATGCTTCTTATTTAAAAAAAAAAAAAAAAAAAAAGAAGTTTAGGCTGGGTGCAGTGGCCCACGCCTATAATCCCAGTACATTGGGAGGCTGAGACAGGAGGATCACAAGTTCAGGAGTTCAAGACCAGCCTGGCCAACATGGTGAAACCCTGTCTCTACTAAAAATAGAAAAAATTAGCCGGGTGTGGTGGCATGCAACTGTAACCCCCAGCTACTCGGGAGGCTGAGGCAGGAGAATCGCTTGAACCCAGGAGGCAGAGGTTACAGTAAGCCGAGGTTGTGCCACTGCACTCCAGCCAGGGCAACAGAGTGAGACTCTGTTTCAAAAAAAAAAAGAAAGAAAGAAAGAAAGAAAAGAAAAACACTTTAAATTTAAAAACACAAATTGTTCAGAAGGACGGAAAAAGATATAGCAGGTTAAGAGTTGACAAAAGAAGCCTGAGAAGAAATGGCTATGTTAACACCAAATCAAATTTCACAGCAAAAATATTTACCAGCTATAAACAGTCATTTCCTCATGGCTTTTAAAAGTTCAGTTAATCAAGAACATAAAATCTTAAATGACTGTGTACCTAATAACAGCTTCAAAATATATGAAGCAAAAATTGATAGAACAAATAGACAAATTCACAAGTACAGTCTGACATTTGAATATTACTCAGTAAGTGACAAAACAAGAGAGCAGCAAATCAGCACGAAGGGGGTAGACTTGAACAACACCATGATTCTCTAGTACTCTGGGAGCACTTTCCAAAACACACCACATTCTAGGTTCTGCAATCAAGCTTAGTAAAAGGACTAAGTCAGAAGGATTTAACTCATACAAAGTATGTTCTCTGACCACAAAGCAATCAAATCAGAAATCAATAACAAAATATCTCATCAAAATATTCAAAAAGTAACACACATCTAAATAACCCTAGGTCAAAGACATGATGCAAAGAGAAATTAAGAGTATTGTGAACGGAATGAAAATGAAAATACTACATATCAACATCTGTGGAACACAGCTACAACAGTACTTAAAATTTTTTTAGCACTTAATGTCTATATTAGAAGACTTTCAAGTCAGTGGTCTTGACTTCTATCTTAAGCAACCAAAAAAAAAAAAAAAAAAAAAAAAAAAAAAAAAAAAAAAAAAAAAAAAAAAAAAAAAAAAAAAAAAAAAAAGAAGAAGAAACTAAAAAAAGCCGGCACACCAGGCCCAACCGCAGCTTCTCGGCTTAAGCACCTCCACTTGCAGCGGCCGATTCCGAGGCCACCTCCAGCAATGGCCTTTGCAAATCTGCGGAAAGTGCTCATCAGTGACAGCCTGGACCCTTGCTGCCAGAGGATCTTGCAAAATGGAGGGCTGCAGGTGATGGAGAAGCGGAACCTTAGCAAAGAGGAGCTGATCGCGGAGCTGCAGTTCATGGGAACAGAGCTGAATGCAAAGACCCTGGGAAGGACTGGGAGAGAGGTGGCTACCCAGGTGCAGTCCTTTGGGATGAAGACGATAGGGTATGACCCCATCATTTCCCCAGAGGTCTTGGCCTCCTTTGGTGTTTCAGCAGCTGCCCCAGAGGAGATCTGGCCTCTGTGATTTCATCACTGTGCACACTCCTCTCCTGCCCTCCACCACAGGCTTATCGAACGACAGCAACTTTGCCCAGTGCAAGAAGTGGGTACGTGTGGTGAACTGCGCCCGCGGAGGGATCGTGGACGAAGGCGCCCTGCTCCGGGCCCTGGGTCGGGCCAGTGTGCTGGGGCTGCGCTGGATGTGTTTACGGGAGAGCCACCACGGGACCGAACCTTGGTGGATCATGAGAATGTCATCAGCTGTCCCCACCTGGGCGCCGGCACGAAGAAGGTGCAGAGCCGCTGTGGGGAGGAAATTGCTGTTCAGTTCGTGGACATGATGAAGGGGAAATGTCTCACGGGGGCTCTAAATGCCCAGGCCCTTACCAGCGCCTTCTCTCCACACACCAAGCCTTGGATTGGTCTGGCAGAAGCTCTGGGGACACTGATGCGAGCCTGGGCTGGGTCTCCCAAAGGGACCATCCAGGTGATAACACAAGGAACATCCCTGAAGAATGCTGGGAACTGCCTAAGCCCTACAGTCATTGCCAGCCTCTTGAAGGAGGCTTCCAAGCAGGCGGATGTGAACTTGGTGAACCCCAAGCTGCTGGTGAAAGAGGCCGGCCTCAATGTCACCACCTCCCACAGCCCAGGAGCACCAGGGGAGGAGGGCTTCGGGGAATGTCTCCTGGCCGTGGCCCTGGCAGGCGCCGCTTACCAGGCTGTGGGTTTGGTCCAGGGCACCACACCTGTGCTGCAGGGGCTCAGTGGAGCTGTCTTCAGGCCGGAAGTGCCTCTCCGCGGGGGCCTGTCCCTGCTCCTATTCCGGACTCAGGCTTCGGACCCTGCAATGCTGCCTACCATGACTGGCCTCCTGGCAGAGGCAGGCATGCAGCTGCTGTCCTACCAGACTTCACTGGTGTCAGACGGGGAGACCTGGCACGTCATGGGCATCTCCTCCTTGCTGCCCAGCCTGGAAGCGTGGAAGCAGCATGTGACCGAGGCCTTCCACTTCCACTTCTAACCTTGGGGCTCAGGGGTCCTACCTCTGGGGCTTTTCTGAAGAAACCTACCCACTGTGATCAACAGGGAGAGAAGATCCACATTCCTGGGCTGAACGCACAGGCCTCTGACACTGCTTACAGGGCGCTCATCTGACCCTGTAGTGCAGCAATAACCATCTAATAAAGACCCTACCAGCAAAAAATAAACAAGCAAACAAACAAACAAACATATGCCATGGTTGACATTTGCATCTTCCCAGAACTTAAGTTTATGTTATTAAGCTTATGCTGAAACTTAATCACAGAGGTGATGTTATCAGAAGGTGGGGCTTTATGGAGGTAATTTGCTCATGGGAGCCAAGCCCTCATGAATGTGATTAGTACTCTTATATAATAGACCCCAAAGGGCTCATTTACCCATTCTGCCATGTGAGGACACAGTGGGCAAAAAGGGATCCATGAACCCGTAACTGGTCG